CCGTATACCAAATTCGTGGATAGCGCATATGGTGCAGGTAAGTCGGTATGTGCGGCGATTATGGCCGAGGAGTCTGCCAAAAAGCGGCAAATCATTCTCGTAACCGCTGTTCAAAATAGCGCACTAGATGTAATTGGTGCGAAAATCGCTGAACTACAGTCGGAACACATCCGCGCTGTGCGTTATTTCAGCGAAATCCTTGCACAGGGTACGCTGCAACAATCGCCGTTTGCTCTCCGTACTCATGGAGATCTTCCACAGTACGCATCGTCATTTATTGGATGATGACTACTACAAGCGGTTCAAGCGGTTCGCAGACGAGCGTCGACAGCTACGTGAGTTTATGTTTTCTGATACGCAAACTAAGGCCGTCAGTGAAGAACATACTAAATTGTTGTTCTTGGAAGAACGCACATCATTTGAGCTCAAGGTGCTCACTAGTAAATTTATCAAGTTATACAATACTAAAGTATATCTTTGTACGGTTTCTACCGCGTTGAACCCTACCTGCAAGAAAGGCTTGTGGCGCACGATTGGTACTTCGTGGTACAGATTTATTTTAGACGAGGCATCGATGGTGCTAGAGGCGACTCTAATGACGCTTATATCACGCTTCCTGGAAGCGCGAATTACGCTCATCGGGGATAGCAAATAGCTCCCTCCATATGTAGGATGTTCAAAGTGTCCCGCTACGCATTGTCGCGGTAAGCTCTCGATCGGTCCTCGATTTGGTGACGAACCACGAGTGGACACCTACAGTAGTGGCCAGAAATTTATGAACAAACGGTTTTTTCATGATTTCTCTTTTGAAAGTCACTGCAACGTCTCCAAATTTTGCAACAACAATTATTAACTACGTGTTTTATGATCCACACAGAAGAATTTCAACCTTCAGCTCAAATTTGGGTTTAGAAAATAGATTTTTCGAATGACAATGCAGCGTGAAAGATCACTTGATGCGTTTATTTGATTATCCTTCTATTTTATAAAGCGCTAACTTTGTGTGTCGGTTTGTGTATCTGTATGTGTGTGTATGTATGTGTGTCCGTCCGCAAAATGAAGTGAGTGAGAAGGAAGCTCATGGGATAAACAAACCGCTAACAAATCGGGTAGCTTACAGGATTTGAGATATCAATGTTTTGTAGCAGGATAGTTGTGATAACACTCTTAGGGCTATATAAACACCTGCTTAGCACACTTCCGTTCATTCCACATGGTGCTGCAGTGGCAGCTGGAGGGCAGTGGAGAGAGGAAGGGAGGATGAGGAAGGGAAGCGAAAAATCTACCGTCATATCATGATTGTGTCCCTTCTACTGTATGAAACACCATTGTGTTGCATACGCGTCACTTCCACGAGGTGTTGGTGTCACAGGAGGAAGGGACCATAGCGGAGGATAGAAAGCTTGCGCAGGAAAGGAAGGTCCCGGCGGTTGACGGGGGACTAATCTGGTAATGTATAACCCAACAGAACAGTCAAGTAAACAGTCACTAACATTAAGCAAGTCTAGCACATTGCCCAGAACTCTCTAAAGTATTGGATACATAAACTGGATTTGAATGCGGGGTCAACTAATGAACTCACTCTCTAGTGGGGTCTCTCTCTGTAGTCCCGTCTTTTCGTGGCTCTTTCACTGAGATACGCATCCATAGGTCCTCCCCTAGTGGTTCTGTAATGTTTGGCTCAGGAGTCTGGCCTGGCTGGTCTTTTAAAAGCACCCCATGCTGTCGAAACCACTCCTGCATGTGAGAGGCTCGATGCTTTGAGTCGCTGCTCTGCTGACAGACAAAGCCAGGTCGTGTGGCAGCCATGTCCACGGATACATAACATCTTCTAGAATCTAAGTCTATACTACGTATTCCTTAGTTCTCAAAGTCTAAGAAGAGCGCTCGCTGTGAAGTGGGTGGGAGTAGAATGTGATTGACTAAGTCTGAAAAGAAGGTTGACACAGGTTTCTAAGGTCATCTGGAATGACAAAAACATATTACTGATGCATGACAGCAAGGACACTAGTATTGTACGGCACCACGAGAGGGAACGTTTTGATCCAAAGAATCAGCTGCCAATTGTGAAACTTGGCGGAGGCTTGATAAGGTTGCCTTGGAAAAAAGTGGGACCACGCTACACGACTGAGGTAGCGATGAAGGCAGACGTTTGCTGTCATGTTTTGGAAGGTGTCATGTATCCGTAGGCTTGGCCGCCCCCGACCTGACTTTGCCTGTCGGCAGAGCAGCGACTCAAAGCATCGGGCCTCTCACATGCAGGAGTGGTTTCGACAGCATGGGGTGCTTTTAAAAGATCAGCCATGCCAGACTCTTGAGCCAAACATACAAACCATAGTGAGGGGGAAAAACCCACCCCCCCAAAAAAGAAATTGTCCGTATGTAGGTCAACGAAGAGCACGAAAGACGGGATTACAGAGAGCAGACCCCACCGAGAGAGTGAGTTCATTAATTGACCCCGCATTCAAATCCAGTTTATGTATCCAATACTTTAGAGAGTTCTGGGCAATGTGCTAGACTTGCTTAATGTTAGTGACTGTTTACTTGACTGTTCTGTTGGGTTATACATTATTTAAATCAAATAAACGGATCAAGTGATCTTTCACCTGCCTTCATTAATTTCGAAAAATCTAAAATTTTCTAAACCCAAATTTGAGCTGAAGGTTGAAATTTTCTGTGTGGATCATAAAGGACGTAGTTAATAATTGTTGCAAATTTGGAGACGTTCCAGTGACTTTCAAAAGAGAAATCATGAAAAAACCGTTTGTTCATGAGTTTCTGGCCACTACTGTATATGTCATCTGCGAACGGTCTACCGTCCGCACACAGAAACTATGTATCTCAATTCAGGACTCTTTTACGACGGTTCACTCACTTGCGGTGCCGCGGAATCTCTCCGTCAAGCTCTACTTTCACGGGTCACAATGCCAAACCCTAGATTTCCAGTGGCACTCATCAATACCCCATCATATTCTGTACAATCGGACACTGGTTCCCATAGCAATATCGCAGAGAAACACGTACAGCTCATGTTACTTGTGTGCTTTCTTTTAGCTAAAGGTTTTGCGCCAGCACAAATCATGGTGATCTGTCTGTACCGTGATCAAAAGCTCTGCTATGCGAGCGTATTTTACAGCAGACAGACGTCACGGTATCCACCGTTGACAGCGCACAGGGAAAGGAAAATTCTGTGATCATACTGTGTACCACACGCACAGAGGTGGAGCCAACAGCCGCGGCTTCCTTCTTCTCTGACGCGAGACGCCTCAATGTCGCGCTCTCCCGTGCAAAAGACGGTATGTTCATTTTGGGTTTCCTCCCCTGCCTCCGGAAGGCAGCTGTATGGAACAGAGTGGTACGATGGTGTCAGAACAGACGCCTCATAACCGACCTTCACTTCTTTGATACTCCCTTCGACCTCCTATTCAACCCTAAGTCCGAGGACGGACTTCACGAAAGGGGGGAGATGTAACGGTTAGGGTAATTCAAATAAGGCTATAGGTTATATTCTAGACCGATGCACGCCGTATGTTTATTTTGAAGCGCTTAGGCATTATGTTTCCAGATGTCGGACGGTTCGAAGACGATCGAAGGGGCGGAGCGAGGACGAGAGGAACAACGAGGATTCTGCCGACGGACCGTACTGCGACCGGTCTGATGACCGGATATTCCGACTTCGCCACTTGTCTTCCATCTTTATGATCTACATATCTTTTGTTGTGCTCATACAATTTCATGCCTTATGTCTGTTCATCGTTATGGTTATACATGAAGTTTATTGGTCTACAGTCTTGTGGAATTATGCGGTTTAGTGGAGAGCTCTCGAGGCCTGTTAAATTGTTAATAGGGGAGGATGCTAAGAGGACATTCGAACCTTTACTGAATCAAACCCTTTCCACAGCTTTTAACCACTTTATTTCAGAGTTCTCTTGGCTGGTGCATTTCCTAATGCTTCTACATTCGTCTTCTATGGGCAACAATTATTTGTAACACATAACGTATTTGAATATGTTGACTTCTTCTCACTTCGGAGGTACATTTACGGTATGTTGATAGTGCCCATTTTTCTTTTCCTAGGATGCGCTCTGCGTATTTAACAGCATATTCTACTAGGGGAATTGTAAATATGGTCACAAAATAATTGTTGCTCATTTCATACAAAAGAGTTAAAACGCTACATCAAAGTTTCGATACCTCCAGCAGACAATTGTCAGTAGTTCTTACTGAATGCGGCTGCTTAGGAACTTTTTTGAAACGGACCATACAGACATTCTGACGGCTGTTCGTATGACCAGAATTCCGCCTCGCACTTTTAAAGGCAGCTTTTAGCGATTTACTAGGACTGTACTGCTTCATGCAGTTCTTTAATATTCATCTATACATCTCATAGCCCGCTGCATTCAGATTGGGAGTATGTCGCG